CCTTAAATTCTAAAACCCTAAAAAAAAACCGTAAACCCTAAAAGCTAAAACCCTAAACCCTAAACCTTAAACACAAAAAAAAACCCTAAACCCTAAAACTCTAAAACCTTAAAACCCTAAACCCTAAACCCTAAAACCCAAAAAAAAAAAAAAAACCCTAAAACCCTAAATCCTAAACCCTAAAAAAAACCCTAAACCTTAAACCCTAAAACCCTAAAACCCTAAACCCTAAACCCTAAACCCCTAAACCATAAACCTTAAAACCTTAAACCCTAAATCCTAAAACCCTAAACCCTAAACCCTAAAACCTAAATCCTAAAACCCTAAATCCTAAAACCCTAAACCCTAAAACCCTAAACCCTAAACCTTAAAACCCTAAATCCTAAAACCCTAACACCCTAAACCCTAAACCCTAAACCGAAAACCCTAAAACTCTAAAACCCTAAAACCCTAAAAACCAAACCTTAAAACCCTAAAACCCTAAACCCCAAACCCTAAAACCAAAAAAAACCCTGAACCCTAAAACCCCAAACCAAAAACCCTAAAACCTAAAACCCTAAACCCTAAACCCTAAAACCCTAAATCCTAAAACCCTAAACCCTAAACCCTAAAACCTAAAACCCTAACCCTAAACCCTAAAACCCTAAACACTAAAACCCTAAACCCTAAACCTTAAAACCCTAAACCCTTAAATCCTAAACCCTAAAACTCTAAACCCTAAACCCAAAATCCTAAAATCCTAAACCCTAAACCGTAAACCCTAAGCCCTAAACCCTAAAACCCTAAACCCTAAAACCCTAAATCCTAAAAAAAAAAAAAAAAAAACCCTAAACCCAAAAACTTTAAAACCCTAAAACCCTAAACCCTAAACCCTAAATCCTAAAACCCTAAACCCTAAACCCTAAATCCTAAACCCTAAAACCCTAAACCCTAGAACCCTAAAAAAACCCTAAACCCTTAAACCCTAAACCCTAACACCATAAACCCTAAATCTTAAAACCCTAAACCCTAAACCTAAAACCCTAAACCTTAAAAAACCCTAAAACCTTAAACCCTAAACCCTAAACCCTAAACCGCATCCAACCAAACACTCTCGACTGCCTGGGCGATTTTACACTGCCGCCGTTGCCGACCCCCCGTTCCGGCGGTTCCAGACGCCGGACGGCCATTCTGCCACCGTCAATCGACTCGCCGACCCCGCAAACCCCTCCTCCACCAAGCCTCGTTGTCGGAAAGAGCCCCCAGCCGCCGGTCTCGATCACCTCCTCCACGTCGTCGTCGGGGAACTCACCATTGCCGGCGATTTCAGCCCGGTACTTCATCACCATCGTGGTCGCCGTCCTCCATAACCTCCGTAGCTGCCCAGCCGCCGCTGGAATCCGCCACTGCGCCGTCGCTCGCCACTGCCCTGTTTGGTGAAACATTCGGCGCCGATATCTCTTCACTCCGGCGTCAGACCGCCGATCGGCCAGCACCACTGGACTCGCAGGCGTGAGGAGCCCCCACTTCCACCCTCCGATCGCCGGAATCCGCCGCCGATCACGATCCCAAAGGTTGGCCTCCCGAACCTTCGCTACCGCCGTTCGGAGTTTCCCACCGTCCAACCTCCGTTTTGACGACGGCCTCATGTTCCCCGGCCGCGAAAACCCCCAGGGCTGTGCCACCGCCTCCGGTCGCCACCACTGCGCCACCGTCCGCCGTTGCCCTAGGCCGCGACACCATCGGCGCCGCCGTTCTCCCGACTCTGACGCCGGCTCGCCAATCGGCCACCACCATTGGGTTCGCAGGTCTGAGACGACCCAATCCCCACCCCGCGGTTGCCGGAAACCGCCGCCGACCCCGCCCCCGACGGTTGGCCTCCTGAAGCGTCGCCGCCGCCACTCCGGCGTCTCTTGACGTCCGACCACCCTTTCGACGACGCCACCGTGTTCTCTGGCCCCAAAAACCCCCCGACAGTGATCGAGGGCGCCGGTCGCCCTCTCCGGCGGTATGCTCACCCCCGCCCCCCTCGTTTACTGCCGCTCGCCATTATCCAGCCGCTCCGGTCGCCCGACCGGTGATCTGACGCCACCACCGTGTTCTCCGGCCCAGAAAACCCCAGACGGTGCCCCTTCGACGCCGGAACAGCGCCCCGACGGTTCCCTAGATCGCGACCTCTGCTGGCCCTCGTCATCGTTGCTTTCCGGCCTCTCCGGTGGTCCGACCGTCGATCTGACGCCACCACTGTCTTCTCCGGCCCTGAAAACCCCCAGACGGTGCCTCCCTGACACCGGTACAGTGCCCCGACGGTGCCCAGACATCGCGACTGTCACTGGCCCTCGTCGCCACCATTTTCTAATTGCTCCGGTGTTCTGATCGCCGATCTGACATCGCCGTTGGTCTCGCTGGCTCCTGAAACCCCAGACCCACCACCTTTGCTGCCGTTCTCCGATGACAGCCGCTGCCCCTCGCCGGTGTTAGGGTTCTGCCATGGAATCGCCGGTGCCGTCTGCCCAGGCTGCCGCCGGCCGCCGCTCGTCCCTTGCGGGTGCTGATTCGATGCCTTTCGCCGCTGGTACTAGCCATCTACAACCCCGGAAGTCTTTTGCCAGTGCCGTTACTACCGGATTTGATCCCGAGATTTTGGAGGACAGTCCTTACTCTTTCTTGGCGGAACCGCGACCCGCCACTATTGGCCAATGGGTCCACAGTGATGGACGACCGCGCCTTGCTTTCACTGCTGCCGAAACTGCAAGGTACACGGCCTCACACCTGTATATTCTTATTGAGAAATTTTCACACGGTCAAGTACCTTATGAGCATTTCTATTGGGTCCAAACTGTCCTCCATAGTTACCTGCATGACACTGAGAATTTTCTGAACTTCTCATTCAGGAATACACTTTCTTATTATTTGATCTGCACAAAATTTATTAAAATAAGAGTCATCCCAGAAGTAATATTCACATCATGCTTAAACGTTTTATTATTATTATTATTATTATTATTATTATTATTATTATTATTATAAGATGTGAATTTAACAGGTTCTATTCCACATGCCAAAAAATTAACTATATCGGAGAACCGTGGTGTTTCTGTATGGAAAGTGTCAATAGAATATAAATGTTCATCAGGAAATAAATTTAAAATCTCTCTATTTATCTCTTTTTCAGTGGTTGGCAGGTTGCATAAATGATCTGCTACTTGATTTTCTACTCCTTTCTTGCCCCGAATTTCCAAATCAAATTTCTGCAACAAAAGAATCCATCGCATTAATTTGGCTTAGTATTTTTTTTTATGAAAAAAAAATTTAACAGCAGAATGGTCAGTATAAACTACTTTTTATCGTACCAAATAGGGCCTAAATTTTTCACATACAAATACTATTGCTAACAACTCTTTTTCTGTAGTACCGTAATTCTTTTGTGCATCTTGAAGAGTGTGACTAGCATAGTATATAACATGCAATTTTTTATTTTTTCTTTGCCCTATAGCAGCCCCGACTGCATATCACTTGCATCACACATTAATTCAAATGGCGATCCCCAGTCAAGTGGTTGGATGATAGGTGCTGATATCAAAGTAGATTTTAACAATTCAAAAGCCTTCATGCATCCACTATGAAAGCTAAATTGCATATCTTCGCATAAAAGCTTTGATAAAGGTAAAGCAACTTGATAGAAATCCTTTATGAAACGGCGATAGAAACCGTCATGTCCAAGAAAACTACGAACTCCTTTCACATCCTTGGGTGGGGATAAATTCTCCACAACCTGCACCTTAGCCGGATCAAACTAGATACCATCGACGGAAACTTGGTATTCCAAAACAATACCTTCTGTCACCATGAAGTGACATTTTTTCCAATTCAACACCAAATTTGTTTCTTCACATCTAACAAGTACTTTTTTCAAATTCTGTAAACATGCATTGAAATCACAACCAAAAACAGAAAAATCATCCATGAATATTTCAATGTTATGTTCTATTAAATTAGAAAAAATTCCTTGTTCAACATATACTTATTGCCTTCAGTAATTGTGTTTCCTTGTTCTTTACTGAAGTCTAAATAATTATTGCCTTCCGTTGAAGGCAATAATTATGTTTCCTTGTTCAACATGATAGCTCTACAATTCTCTTTAGGATTCGGATCTAACATGCTTGGCAGAGCACCTGCTGCCTTTAAGATGCTTCTCTAGCAATTTGTCCAATTTGCATTTTCATATTTTTCACCGAAGTTTGCACCTGCTGAATGGTTTGTTGTTGAGAAATTATAGTGTTTAACAAGTCACGAAAGCTTACCTCATTCTCCCCAGACTTCTTTGCATTTAGTTGATGGATTTGTTGATCATGCAGGCCTTGTGTAGTAGATTGTTGTCCTCCCCTAAATTTAGTGTCCTGGTTGTAGCCTTGATTGAACCTTCGATCTTGATTTTGGCTTTAAGGGAATAAAGTTAGTACCTTTTATTTCTTTACTTTTTTTCCTTATTATTAAATCAGTGCTTTTCGTATATGTTACATAGGAAATACAGTTAGTGCTTTTATTTTTGCATTTGTTTTCCTTTTTATTAAATATCACGAGATTTTTCTTTGTGCTTTAGAGTGTCTTGGCCCTTTGTGTGTCTGTGTGTTTGTTTATGTGTGTTTTCTGTGTGTGAGTCTGTCTGTATTTGTGTTTCACTGGTTGTCTACATATGTCTATGTGTGTATATTCGTCTGTAGTCTGTATCTGTCTATTTCTATGTGTTGGTGTGTTTGTGTTTGTATGTGAGTTTGAATTAGTCTGTGTGTGTGTTTTTGTGAGTGTTTATCTATGCGTGAAGAGGCATTTGGGTGTCCGTGAGTCTCTGTATGTGTTTGTATGTGGATGTGTCCGTGCGTGGGTTTGTGTGTATCTATGCGTGTATGGGTATATGTGTCTGTGTCGATGTGCGTATGTGTTTGTGTATATTTATGTTTGTATGTGTGTGAGTGTGTTTGTGTATTTATATCTGTCCGTCTGTTTTTTTGTCGGCCCTATTTGGACATCAACCCGGGTTGGGTTTATATTTTTCGATAAATGGAGCAAACATAAGAAGCTTTTAGTAATTCATTAGGACAAACCCGGTAGTCGTAAATACCAGATTCAATACCAGATTCAGGCTGAGAAAAGTGGTAGCTTCTGCTCACCCGAGGCGAAGGAGATGATGTATTTCTTCAATGGTGAAATATAATGAGCTCCCTGAAACGCAGCACCTCGAAGAACATTCAATGGCCCCAAATCCACAGAATAAGCTTTCTGAAACCCATCCAAGATCGCCATCATCGCCATGTTCGCAGCCTTTCTTTCTGCTTCGTATCGCCTCAGCAACGCCACCTGCTCATACGAACGATCGATCCTTCTTCAGGAATGATCGAAAAAGAAAGAATATTATCAACATAGCAGCAAAAATATACCTCGCCGATATCGGATCCGACTGAAATGCCCTCGGCAATGACCTTTCCGAGGGCCATCGCATCCCCAAAACCGAGATTAACGCCCTGACCGGCCAGAGGATGAACGGTATGCGCAGCATCACCGATAAGCGCAGCCCGTCTCGACACATACGTGTTAGCGTGATTCAGAGATAGAGGAAACACCATTCTGTCCGAGGCGATTTTTTTAATTTTCGGTGGGACTTCGAAGCGCTCGTCGGCTGACGGTGTTTTGTTTCCGACTAGCCATGGGAAGGCAGGTGTGGTCTGAGATTTTGGGCGCGGGCCGTAACCAGCGTCGAGTGCACGGTTTACTTCGTTGACGAAATCATCCTCGGAGAGTGATTTCCGGGTTAAAGATTCGTCGGGGCTCATTGTCCAGACAATGTTGCTGAAGTTGTCGCCGATTGGCAGCAGAGCGATTGGGCCGTTGGGGAGAAATCGCTGCCAAGCGCAATGGCTTTCTTCATCGTGCTGTACGGTGCATATAATCGCACTCTGAGGATACTTCCATCCAGTCGAGCTTATTCCGGCTATTTCCTTGACACGTGACTTCGAGCCATCTGATCCGACCTACAGAAAATATCACAGGGATGAAACAGGGCCGATTTTAAAGTTGTTTTAAGGGTGTGTTTGTTTGAAGGATTTTGGAGGATTTCCACTATTCATCCAATTTTTTCCCCCCAAAAACATCAAATCAAACACCTATTTTTCATTTTTTATATTATACTAAAAATCAATTTTACATTCAAAACATCACATCAAATCCTATTTATATCACATCATACAACTATTCAAATTCAAAAATTTTACTATTCAAATCCCAATCCAAAATCCAAACCCCCAAACAAACACACCCTAAATGGAAATAGGATGGCATAAGGTGTATTTGAAACTTACAACTAATTTGGCGTACAAGTTAGTCCCATCACTCAGTTCCAATTTCGCTAAAGAGCCACGAGCACTTGATGAAGAGCTTGGTTGTAAGATCATTGAGCTTAATCTCGAAGAGTATATAGTATTCTGGAAAGTTGCCTCCTGTCAAGGAAAATATTTCTAAAACTGAAAATACTAAACAAAATTCTTCACCTCGAAATAATCATTGTAGCAAATATTACGGACAACTGCAGGTATTTCAAGGGCCAACAGGTAGATCAACAAAATTTATGAACTCAACGAAATCTCTCCAGAAAGAAAGCATGAAGTATCATTAATTTAGGGCTACAATAAATAATACTCCCTCAGTCCCATAAAAAAAAAATACATTTTTTATTTTTGTTTATCTCAAAACAACCGTATTATTGTACTACCTGTCTAATATAATAAGTACTCCACTATACTAATAGGGGCATTTTTGTCTTTTTCTCTACCACAAACCAATATAATACTAATATTAAAAAATCAACATACAAAAAACAAATGATGCTCTTATTGCGAGACGTTAAAACTAGAATTAACATTCTAGGGCATATACTTTGTTAAAAGGCATTGTTCATTGTTTTATTCCGTCAGATTTTGCAATGCTTGTCTGGTTTAACATTACTTTGTAGTGAACTAGGCTCCAGTCAAATTATAAATAAAGAATAGAATAACTAGTTCGTTCTGTTTTATCCTTTTTTTTTCTTGTTTCTGTTGTCATATACACAGATTAGTCCTTGTCCTTGAAGATAGATTTAATGATGCTAAGGATTTCACAATACTCGACAATGGTGCAGAAACAATTACCTAAGATAAAATTAGCTTCTTCCTCTACACATAAAAGGAATGGTCTTAAGAGTATTTCATTACCTGTAAGCATGCCAACAGAGATCTGTGAAGCACTTTATTTTCCACCACACACCTAAATTTCAAATCCAAAACAACTATTATCGGCAAGAAAGCACTGTTTGATAATGGAAGCAATGACACCTGCAGAAATTGCTCGTACCCTAGTACTTCTTTGTTGATGTCTTTTGCATTATACCTTGTATATCCAAGACCAGTGTAATCCCATACCTAGGATAAAAAGCATATAATATTCAACTGTAACTTCATTAATGATTCATGAAAAACAAATATCGAACTACTATCAAGTTCAGAAGGAAACGTAATAATATGATAGAGCAATTTGCAATTATCGGGCTTGTCAGAGCAAGATAAAGGGGCATCACAGTCATGTAAGCCAGAAGGGGAAACATTTGCTGCAAGCCTAAAACATAGAAGGTTATGTAAGATGAAGCATTAAGACATGTAGCTTACTTCTACAGAAAACTGAAAAACTAAGGTTTCTGAGTTCAGATAAATAGAGGTTCGTATAATCGATGATATATGACAGTCTTTTTTCTCCTTAAGCAATCATTTTTATGTCTTATATTCCTTCAAAATGCTCACAATCAAAAGGGTAACTAAGGAACTTTAAAATAATGCTTAAAAGATATTTTTCTTCAATTTGAATACTTTTGAGATCATAACCATTCAAAAGAAATGCTGAAGGTTAGAATTTATACTCAATCTCACATATTAGCTCTCTCGTTAGCTTCCGTCATTATCTCCTACATAGCTCCCTTATTAGTTCCTAGTTCTCGTTCCCTCATTAGCTTCTATAATTATCTCTTAGATTAACTCCTCGTTAATTCTTAGATTAAATTTCTCATCAGTTCCTTTGTTGTCCTTCCTGATTATCCGTAATTATATCATCAATTAGCTCTTTTTGTAGTTAACGACCTCCCTTTGTACTCTATATATAATAAATATATTTGGTTCGATTCGGTTAATCGAAAAATATATCAAAAACTGAAACCGAAACAAACAAAAATCAAATATATAGTATTTGTATTCGAACCGAATTTGCTCGATTAACCGAAAATTTGGATTGGGTCGGTTCAACAGTTCGATTCGAATATTTTGCCTACCCCTACATATGACTTTCAACCCCACCATCAAGCTTTGGACCATTCATTTCTATGTCCAATTTAGGTGTCACCTTTCAACGTACCTTTAATATGCCTATATCATCACCAAAAGGTTGTTGGCTACCATCTTCAATGATATCGATCTAGTCCCAACGTCCGCTCTTCTCCCGGTTGACACTGTAGGGGTTTGTTCTAATGCATCCATAAGTATCTCATAGATTAACACTCAATAATTCCTAGATTGGCTCCCTCATTAGCTTTCTATAATTCTCCTAGATTCCTAGTGCACCAATATGATTTATCATGATGGTATTCTCCCAATCTTTTCCCTTTTCACTTAAGATGAGAAAACCTTTAACAAAGTCAATTGACGGATGATGATAAAAATTGAAATATAATAAATAAATTAAACATGATTCTCCACAAGATCAAGATTAGAATAGACTCCGCCTAACCTAAATGCTTCTGAATATTGCTATCATGAAATCACTGCAAGAATAGGCAGCAGAACAAGAAATATAAAAACACTGATAGGTACATCAAAACAATCATTTCATGAATTAAAACATTTCTTCATCTCACTGTTACCTGCATCTTATCAAAATAAGCATGCCGTTGCTTTTCAACATGTTTCCAGGCTCCCATCTCTGAAAGAAAGGACAATTATACGTGCACAAGTCACAGTGAAGATGCTTATTTTCTGTCAAAAAGCAATGCAGCTCCATATAACTTTAATCATTTTAAGTATAAATATTGTACCTAAAGGTATAATGATGCATAGATAGAGCAAATAATGCATGAACACAATTATGTTTCCATCAATCTTTTTAGTCTAAAATCAAGGGAGTCAAAATCTCAATATTCTTGCAACACAATTTACACAGAAATCCGTAGAAAATCTTACCATGATGTGCGCATTGGTGTTGAAAACACCAAGTTGTGCTGTGTTAGTGTCTATATAAATGAATACAGGGAAAGAAGTGGGATAATGCAGATCAACAAACTCGGGTAAAAACATGCACCTTATCATAATAATGTTAGTCCTCAACAAGATTCAAGACAAATAATTAGGAAGTGAATGACCTATTGTAAAGAATTCTACATGTTTAGAGATCAGGAATTCAGCATGTTTTGAAATAAGCCAATTTTGTTTAAGTTTTTGTTTTTACTCTGTATACTTCTTTTTCCATTATTCCAGTAAATACCCTTCTCTCTTATTATCAATTTACAAAATAATGACCTAATCTAGATTTTTCTTTCTTCTTGAAGCTGTATTCCTTTATAGTTCATTCCCATCTCCAACTTCAAGTTAGGGTTTGTTTGTTTTTATGATAACGATTTGATATTGTGTTTCTCATAAAGGTATAGTTGTAGATTAATTATATAGTATTTTGATTGTGTAACTAATCAATTATATGATTATCACTTTTTTTAATATTACAGACATTTATTTTATCATATAATTTTTCTGTGGAGCTTAAACACACCATATTATGGAACGCGAAAGGTTAAGGTATATTGAAGAATAAATACAATAGCAGCAGCCCTCCTTATTAATCTGAAGAACCTAAGGTACTCAAGGGATGTGGGCTATTTCCCTTATTATTTCTTCATTTATATTGGAGAGTGCATGCAGCAAGGGCATATGTTCAGCTAGATTATCCAACATACTTTCACATGGTAGTAGGATTTTCCTAAAAGGCCTGTAAATTCTTCACATCTTATCTACGGCAATAAGATACAGAGTTATTTATTACTTTCTGTACTGCATATGTTTTTTAATGCTATGGTAAAGAATATTACTTCATTTAGAATAGAATTTCAAAATAGTGAAAATACACATATAAAGTAAATTTAAAACAGGAATGTCTATCCAACAATAAACCAATGACAATGTTAAAGGTAATACCTTTGAAAAATGCTATAGACGCTGGTGTGACAGTACTAACTCTTGGATCTGGACGATCCTCTTTACTAATAGCATCAACTCTGAGCAATGCAGGATTGCTATCAATGATGGCAACATTTAGTTGGTTTGTCAATGGCATGCTTGCTGAAAGGAATTAATGTGGAACTTTGTATTATTCAAGCCATGTGAGCAGAAAAGTTCATATTCTTTCGTAAAAATTAAGCATGAATTTTGAACCAGTTTTCACTTTTCACAAAAATGGCCTGCATAAAAACTCAAAAACAGAACAAATCATTTGTTCTAATTCATCTGTATTTAATTACCGAGCACATATTCATCAACAGCATGGAGTAAAATCAATTATGATACAAATTCTTCAGGTGAACGTTATATAAGCACAGATAACAACTTAGTGCCATTGAGTTCCTACTCAAATACATGATGATATATCTTATATATCTATGATAATATATGCTTCTTTCACCAAAACCAACAAAGCATATCCAAGAAATTGTATAGGGTAAAATCGGCAGATTCAGTGGACTGGAATGCATTAATTGCTTCAATAGTAAACACAAACTCTGGTCAACCAAACTTAGATGGCTCCGGAAAGCTACACAGAAAAATCTCAGAACTTAAGATCAAAATAATGGAAACAATTTAATGAAATCTGTAGGGGAAAAATACATTTAGGAAAAAAAAAAATTACCTAGAGAGCAAGCTAGAGCCATGCCAACCATGCCACCTCCAACAATAGCAACATCATGGACAGGAACATTCCCATCCTCACGCTCATGCTTGTTGTTACAACATTTAAGAGTAAATTTCAATATATTGCTTAAAGAATGGTAAGATGCACATTAAAGGGATGAAAGGGAATACAACTCTACATCATTTAAGAATACAACTCTACATCAATTCAATAGAAAGGGATCTCAAAAACAGTGCACATATAATAAAATTGTTACATTAGTTACCTGACTATTGATTGCGCCAGGCACAGCACCAGCATCACTACACAATGTCCTCTGTGCCAATTTCAAGGAGTGGATATTGGAAGCCACTCTTCTTGAAGTTATCCTTGTCAAAACAAAAAGGGAAACCGGTAAAGAGCCTCCAACTCCAAAATTTGCATAGTTTTGAACATACTGAAAATATTAGTAATAATAAGCTCGATAATCACTTGAAAAATCATATCCAGTGGTAATAGAAACAATAGTATTGCTGAAGCAGATAAAAGAAACAAAAGTAAGATAACCAGATATCTTGATGGCAATTAGTTTTCTCATACTAAGAATAAATAAAAGGAAAAAGAAAAATACTCCTCACGAAGGAAAATTCCTTCGAGAAAATCACAATACTTATCCTGCAGCTAAAGGCTAAAGCATGCTAATTCATCCTACTCTATGCATTAAGATGCATTTCCCAAAAACCCAAAAAGTTATTCCACTGAATGTATAGCAACAGAAATTCCTCCCTTCTGCTTTATTGCAAGAACCATTAAATTGCCCATTGCCTCATTATCAATGCCCCTGTAGAAACTACTCAAGCCGAATCACTGCCCCTGTAGAAACTACTCAAGCTGAATCACGCACACTTCATGCAAACTAACTCCAACAGAAGGAAATCAAAGTGATTATAGTAACACCAAATTTCAGAAAAATTAATAGCTCAATACAACTCCAAACAACAAAAAGAGAACATATTCAAGAAGATAAAAACCACTGAAAACCCAAATAAATAAAAAATAAAAATACAGCATTAACATAACCAATTAACCACCAAGCCAAAAAAACTCAATACCTGTTCATTGTGCGTAGATGTTCTTCAACTGGCGAAAGAAAGCTACTTCAAAGGAGAAGAAAACTGTCTTCAGCTATAATTCCAAGTTCAGCTTCAGTCTTCAGCTATATGATTTGAAAATGTTTTGCGTTATTTTCCCAATTCTTTATTTATAACATAATCACATACAAGTATACATAACTCAAAATAATTAATAATATTCTTCGAGTCATAGTTATCGTGTTGTAGGCTATGCCAATTCAGTTTTATTCTTCTTACAATCTTTTCTTCATGAAACATAATTTTACAAAAAACGATAATAATAGTTCAAAGCATGGGTGTCGATTCGTGTTTTTGTACTGAAGGTAAAACATAAAATATACAAACCGAACACGTTCAAAATTTCAACCCAAAATCCCGAACCCAATCAGGGCACAAACCATTTCAGTTCAGGAAGTCAACCCATTTATGTTTAGGATCATCGGATAACCCACCAGTAAACATAATAAAAAACCTGAAAACATATCCGTGTTTGATTGTAGGTCTCGCGCTGGGGTTTTTTCTGTAGAGTCACTGTAGAAGGCGAAGGCGACCACCGGCGGAAGCGTCTCCTTCGGCAAAAGAAAAAAAGGAAGAAAGAAGGAGAAGGAGAAAAATAGTTGAATCAAACCAGCCGGGGAGAAGAAAGAAAGGGATAAACGAAGGAAACTGGAGAGATGAAGGAGAAGGAGAACAAGAAAATCGAAGAAGATGTAGAAGAAAAAAACGGAAATAAAAGGAGAGTATAGAAGATGAGCGGCGGTGGAACGGCGTTGATGCCTTGATGGGGTTTGCGTAGTAGGCATTTATTTATTCTTTTTAATAAATCAAAAATTTTTGTTAAATTTGATATATTCTTTCAAATTTTGATATTTAATGCAAAATTTTACTTTATTTTTATAGCTAGTATCTAGCTAACGTTACAAATATTCTTTCAATTTATAAAAATGTTATTACCTTTGTATTATATCATAGTATTTTTAAAATTGTGTTTCTTTTCATAAATTCTACTGACGTGTTCTTTTGTGGGCTTATTATATATTTATACTATTTAATTTTTTTTTCAAAAATATCAAGTTAAATAATTATTTTTTTATATTATACTATATATTTATTTTATATTCAAAAATATCAAGTCAACTTTTATTTATATAGCATCAAATAACTATTCAAATTCAACTTTTTACTGTTAAAAAAATCCAAACAAAAAACTAAAACACACTGATAAACATACCTTACATTTTTTACCTCGGGCTTGGAGTCAACTAGTACTCCCTCCGTACTATTTATCATGGACGGACCGGCTTGGGATCAATTGATCCCAATTTTATTTTCTAATGTAAAAAATAAAATAAAATTTTATAAATATGATATTTGCCGTCAATCCAATTCAGCAAACAGTCAACTATAATTCCATTTGATTATTTTTATAATATAATATATAATACATTTTAATTATAAATATATTATAAAAAATAAAAGTAAAAGTAAAAACAAAAAATTATTTTAACGTAATTTAACTCACCGGCTGGTGGCATTTCTTTCTTTCTTTTTCCTATTCTCTAATTTTCATTTTTATTTTTCTATTTCAATGCAGTTGTTCTTTTTTATTTTTGTTTTTTTCATCTATCAGTTGTTAACTTATTGCATTAAGAGAAATCGAATAAGGCATAGTTGGATACTCAATAGAGAAAAAAAAACTCAATGTCAGATTCTTGAATTTTTTATCATTTGACTAAGATTAGAATTTGAAAATGTAGGTTTTATTTCAAAATTGAGGTCAATATTATGATTTATGAGTTATTCTTGAAATTTGCTCTTTGTTTGAAAATTAGACTTTATTTTATGTCTTGAAAGTGGACCTAATTCTTTTATTTCTTAAAAATAGGCTAATTTTTATTACTGCATATATTTATTTATTTGTTGTATTTATGTTTTATTATTTCAATATTTGAAATTATTATATTTTAAGGGTAGGTTATTAAAAAAAAATGAAAAATTGTTATGGAACCATTTTTTACATCAATTTCTAAACAATTGAAGACTGTATCTTCTCCATCTAATAATATAAGTGCTCCAGTTGATAATGTGGTCGATAATGTCGAAGACAAAATTAAATTTTCAACGGGAGTTGAATTGTCCAATGATGACATAATTGGGGATCTTGGATTTCAAAAACAATTGAGAGTTATCCGGTTAATATGAGAGAAGAATTAGGAAGACGTTATTTGACAAAACGTCCTTGCCAACTATATAAATTTATTTATCCACAAACTAACTTCCGAGGGTTAATGAGATCATTCTGAAATCAGCAGTTCGAAGAATTTCATTGGTGGGAATAAAAAGCTAAAGAGAAATTTCGTGAACATGAAGGAGATCAAAGTAGTATGCATTGTTATGCAAAAGTCCTATATGCTGGGTTTAAAAATTAAGCACAAAATATTGATTATATGCTCTCATATCAATGTAAAAAATATGAGATTGATTATCGAGATAGAATAGCAACAATAGTGGATGTGGTTCGATTTCTTTTAGGGGGAGGTTTGGATTTTTGAGAATCCGATGAATAAGCTAGTTCATTGCACTCGGTAATTAATTATTATTTTATTTATAAATTATTAATATTATTTACTACATTATATATTTATAATGTCTACCTTATTTGTAGGTAATTTTATTGAGCTTTTGAAATGGAAATGCTATCGACATCTGCAAATAAATGCATTGATGAACCAAAATACTCAAGGAAAATAGTCAATTAACCTCTCTCAAAATTCAAAAGGAAATTACTAATGCTTGTGCAAGAGGGTAAGACAAGCTATTGTTAATGAGATTTGTAGCAAATAAATTTTCACTTTTGATTGATGAAGCTCGAGATAGTTCAATAAAAGAGCAAATGTCTATAGTTTTGAGATTTGTTAATAATCGTGGAGAGGTGATAGAGAGATTTTTTGGAATGATGCATGTCGCTGATACTTCTGCACCGTCACTAAAAATGTAATTGATGATTTTTTTTGCGAAGCATGCACTTTGGTCGTCTAAGAGGTCAATGTTATGATAGAGCCTCTAATATGAGTGGAATTAATGGTTTAAAGTAAAAATTTGGATGAAAATAAACAAACACACTATGTTCATTATTTTGCTCACCGACTTCAATTAGTGATTGTGACATCTTTAAAGAATAATAGGATAGTTGTTAGTTTTTTCGATTATCTTGTGATGATTCTGAATGTAGTTGGGGCACCATGTAAAAGAAAAGACGATCTTTTACAAAGACACTATGAAAATCTTGTTGAGAATATAAAATGTGGTGACATTAGTACGAGGAATGAGAAAAATCAACAAAAAACTCCAGTTTGACCTAGCGATACTCATTGGAGTTCTCATTAAAAACAATTTTTTAAGAGTTTTAGATATGTAGAATGCAGTGACTGAGGTGCTTGAAGTTATATTCGATGATGGAGTTGATCTTAAAAGTAAATCCACTGCTTTGAGTTTGGTTGAGAAAATAGTAACATTTGATTTTGTATTAATTGCTTATTTAATAATGCAATTGCTGTAAAAAAATAAATATATTATCAAAGAATTTTAAATAAGAATCAAAACATAGGAAATATTTTAGTTTTTGTTAAAGGTGAAAAGAATGACTTCAATAATTATAAGAACAATCATGATTGGGAATAGTTGCTTGAAAAAGTCACTGCATTCTCTTCGAAATATAATATTGGTGTGTCGAATATGAAAGATGTTCAGCAGGACCGAATTAAAAGAGGGAAGATACGATGGCAACTAAACACGAGGGTTGCGCTCGTTTATATGATGGTCACAAAAATACCTATCATCACTATTTTTATATTGATATTTGTTTGGAGCTAGTTAAATTTGGAGTTGCTTATGTGCATAGCATGCTTAAGCCCTCAAGAATCATTTTCAAATTTTGATCAAAAGCGACTACTTCATTTTACTGAATTATATCAGGATGATTTCAATTCAAGTGAAAAATGTGAATTTGAAGAACACTTCAAGTTGTTCATTATATTTGTTAAATCATCTTAACTTTTCTTGGGATTGGAAAATATTGGAGATTTAACAAAAAAAAAAAAAAATAGTGGCTATGGAATGACACACAACTTATAGGTTAGTGTATCGACTTATTGAGTTGACATTGATTTTACCCGTTACGACAACTACAGTTGAAAGATCCTTTCCCACGATGAAATTTACAAAAAATAACTTGTGCAACAAAATAGGAGACAAATTTTTGATAGATTGTTTGATATGTTACATTAAGAAGGAAATTTTTGTAAAAATTAAAAACGATGAGGATTTCAGAGTATGGACATGGAAGACATAAATTGTCCTCTTAATAATTCTAGTTTATGATGTTAACTTTTGTTGAAGTTAGAATTATTTTATTATTTTGATTTTATTTTATTTATTTATTGACTAATAAAAATTTTGACACGTATTTGGCCCTGATTGTGTCACTGCTTACCATGTCCCAACACATTATTAATTTTTATTAATAGATTACAATTTGCAGAAAACCCTAATTTTTCCACAAATGTTATCAATTATCCAATCAACTTTATTGATTTCCTCCACGTCATCAATTCTCACTTAAGCCTGCAAATAATTTGAAATACCCAAATTAGCATACATGCATGCATCTATGTGTATACATAGAGAGAAGCAAAAACAAATTACAATCAAAATTAAATAATTTTTTTAAAAGTATATATATATATATATCATAATTGGAGGCGGTTAATTGTGTAAATAATCAAATTATTTGGGTAAATTATATAACACTTCATTGTGTGTTTTTAGTAAAAATGCATATAATACCCTGTGTTTACGTATGAAAACCCTTTGTATTATTATAAAGTTTGCACGAAACACCCTCTTTGTCCAGCCCCGATGTTTGATTTTAAATAAAGACCTAAATTATGTATATTTTATACAAATAAAAAATAAAAAATATTTTAAATAACTTTTTTGAATAAAATAAATAAATAAATAATTGATTAATTCTTCGTTTTATAGTTTTTTAAGACAAATTATTATCTGACTTATAAAAAACTATAAAAATTAATGATTGATCAAATATTTATTTATTTATTTATTTTATTCAACCAAATTATTTAAAATATTTTACGTTTGTTTATTTGTATAGAACTTGTGTAATTTAGGTCTTTATTTAGAATAAAACATCAATTTTGGACAAAGAGTGTGTTTCGTGCAAATTTTATATTACACAAATTAATTTCACGCAATAAATAAAATACGAAGTATTTTGGACATTTTTACTAAAATACAAGAGAGTGTTGTATAATTTACCACAAATTATTCATCAATATATTGATGGAAATATAAAATATAATTACATTTATCGACAGCACTAGGTTCGTATTAGTATAATATAAATGAATCATATAAGGTGATAGCAGATCACAATGGGTGTGTTTACTTGTGAGGTTTTAGTTTTGGGTTTTAATTTGAATAGTAAAATTTTAAATTGAAATAGTTGTTTGATGTGATATACATATATATTGATGTGATGTTTTGAATGTAAACTTAGATTTTTATGTAATAAAATAAATAAAAATTGGGTGTTTGATTTGATATTTTTTTAGAAAAAAAAAAGGTTTGAATAGTAAAATTAGGTGTAAATTCTGACAAGTAAACACACCCAAATAATTCACGTAGTACAATTATGTACTATGTAAAATGAAAATATATATTGTTTATTTATTTTTCATGTCCTGGATGAAACATATCATTATAGTATTAATTGGTTTGTGCCTTAGTCGATACCATAATTATATTACTTCACAATTGTGCCATAATAAAATATGCAAATATTTTGTTAAATACAAAATCATCCGATTAAATAAGTTGGAATTAGTTTATTGATTAATTATTGAAAATATGAAGAATATGGGTGAGCCTTTTTTTTTTTTCCAATTTTATTGACTATAATTTTATTGTTTTTTTTATTTTTTATTTTTTATTATAGATAGGATGATGATTAAATATAATATTTGAGTTTAAAATCTAAATTTTGGGTTTTTTGGATCAAGAGCGAAGACCATTATCCAATTGTGTTAAAATAATCGACCATAAATTTTAATAAAAATAAGTAATAATTATTTTTTGGATTATTATAATAAAAAGTATAAGAAAAACTGTACTATCTTCCTCCAGTCTTAAGGATTCCATTTAATTTTTACCTATTGATATTTGAATATTAATTATTACTATATGAAAACGTATATAAATTAAAAAAAAAAATGACAAAAATACTTCTATTAGTATCTTATAATACTATTATAATGATATTTGTGCAAAAACTTATATAAATATAAATATAACGATATTTTTAATATTAAATATCAAAAAGTAAATAAGACTTTTAAAGTCGGACAAAAAGAGTATATTTTTTTATATAAAAAAAAATAGTTATTTGAACGATTGAGAGAATATAAAATATAAATGAAATGCAATATCAAAAGGGACAATCGTAAATAAAAAGAAATAGCAAATATATTTTTATTAATTTTTTTTAATTAATTAATTAATAAAAAAAATAGCTTACTTGTTACAGTCAACATAGCGGGAGACGGGGATGCTGAGCTGGACCCCACACTTTCCGGCGAGGCTCTGCGCCGCCGCGTCCTTCAGGTCAGCGTAGCGGTTCGCGGCGGCCTTCACGCAGTTGCAGGCGGCTCTCCGGTCGGCCGGCGACCCAACCATTCCCTTCACCGCCCTAACGCCGTCGCAGCACGGCTTCGATGGGTAGTTCCCGCCGCGCCCCCGGAGGTAATTCAGGCAAGGCGCCAAAGCGAGGTCCACCCGGCCGCAGTTCACCGCCGCCTCCGATACGGAGGAGACGGCGAGAATCGCGGCGGCGAGGATGACCGCTGCTGCAATAACACGACGATATTGAGCTTCCATGATTAATTTGATCGATTTTAATTGTTGGGTGGATTAGTGATGGAGCGATTTTTAGGGTTTGGGGGTATTTATAGGAGGGTTTGTTAAGGGCGTGTTTGGCTGTTTGTTACCATTAATAGAAAAAGAGCATTGGGGAAGAAGAAGCAGACAAGGAGCAACCAAACACTACTGTATTTGCAGCCTTCCAAGCGGTCGCCTGATAATTCCGTTAGCTTCATGATTATTGCATGCGAAGAACGGCATTGTAAGAAAATTGAGATTTTTTTTTTACGTAAAAATTGAGCAGTAAAAGTAGTAAATAGAGTCATAGTTTTTTTTTTCATTTTTTATTTCAAATAATAAATATTATTCTCTCAGTCCCACTTTAAAATAATATTTTGAGATTTTATAATAGATTAAAAAATAATTTACTAGTCCCACTTTAAAATAATATTTTGAGATTTTATAATAGATTAAAAAATAATTTACTATAAAAAAATATTAATTTGGCTCTGGAAAATGGTCTCAAAATTTGAACTAGATCCGTGACCATTTTTTTAAGATCTCATAGTTTGCTTTGGAATGGTGTCCGAAGAGTAAAATTCATCTTCTTTTTTGCGGTCTCGGAAATTTCGACGCTATTAAAATAGTCTTAGAATTTTCGACACCAAATCTAAAGTTGCATGGCATCACAGGCACATGAGTTAATATTCCTAATTATTTCCAAATTTTCGTGACCATTTTTTTTTTTATTTCGAATTTTCCGAAGCAATTTTTTTAAATACTTCCAAAAATAAATAAATAAATAAAACGAAATTCACAATTGGGTTACTGAAGAAATTTCCCGGCGACCGAGGACGCCGGATTCTCCCCATCCTCCAGCAGCTGCAGTCCTCTCGGCACTCCTTTCAGTTGATGCGACGAAGGAAGTATTATTCAGTAAATATAATTTTCAATAAAAATAAATTATTTTCTTATAAAACATTATTTAAATCAAATTATAAAAATATAAATAAAAAATAAAAACGCAAAATCAAACCAAAACCAAAGTCATAGTATTTGTTGAATTATACTACTTCATCCACTCGAAATCTAATTTTATTGTTATTTTTAATCGTCTAGACATAAAATATTCATTTTACTTTTAGTTAGTGATACTTCACAGTTGGGCTGTTGCTTGGCCAACTCCCGTGTATGGATTAGCCGGTATTAAGCAATCCAAAGTTGAATAGAGGTTAATTAGATTGAATATATTACTCATGTCAACAATGCACACATTTTTCTTCAGAAATTCTACTGAAAAAATTTAGAGTTACACGTGTTTTTCTTAGAGTAATTTAAGAATGGATGACTCCTGGAAAGTCTCTAACAATGTGCATGAGTGAAAATGACTCGTGTTGACTTGTAGGGTCAGTTTACAATCATGATATACCCAGTTTTGCGTGAGTTGCGGGACAGGGTGTCACATCAGTACATGTGAATTTCATTATATATTACAAATTCTCATAAATTTATACTCATTTAGATAAATATTATTATATCAAATTAAACCGTAATGATAAAATCATTTATATATAACAAAAAAATACTATCAACTACAATTAAAGTACAATATTTATTAACTTTTGTGTTTTTAACGCTACAAAAAAAAAATTACAAATTACTACGGAAAAATTCCGTCACAACTGACAAAATTTTTGTCGCAACTTTTAATTACAACGGAATTTGCGACCAAGTGGAAGTTGTAGTAAATATTATTGTAGTAACCCAATGTAACAATTACAATTTTCCGTTGCAGAGAATTGCAATAGAATTAGTGACAGTCATTTCTATCGCAATTTTTTGTTACGGAATTTTACTACAGTGGCTAATTCTGTTGCAAGTTTTTGCAACGCAAATTGCGAGACAATATAACTATTGCTAATTCTGTTGCAAGTTTTTGCAACGCATTTTAAAAAAGAATATATATGTTGTAAGATCCGTTGCAAATAGAATAGCAAATTCCGAGAGAATATAAATATTGCTAATTCTGTTGCAAGTTTTTGCAACGCAAATAGAATAGCAAATTGTGAGAGAATATAACTATTGCTAATTCCATCGCAATTTTTACAATTTCTTTTGCTTATTTCTCGTCAATTTTGTTTTTCAATATCTATCTCAAAAATATTAATTCAAATTTTCAAATTTAATAAATTTAATGATTCGATTAATATATCTTCTCAAAGATACAAGAACTAGTTGAAATCATATAAAATTTTCAAATTTAAACACTATCAATATACCAAAAACACAATGTATTTAGTATGAGTACCGCAAGTAGCACATATCAGAAAAATGTATAAATCTAATTCAAGTTACCATAATATCATACCAAAACAACTAAGGTCGTAACTAAAATACTTGTAATGATAAAATATCATGATATCGGAGCACTACCACCATCTGAATCGGATTCAGACCTATGAATGGATGGTGCTCCCATACGTCGTAATTGCTCCATAATGGTCAAGTTCAAATCGTATATGGCTCGTTGTTGGTTCTCCATATTTGTGACACGTTGTTGCATCACTTCCCATTAACTACGTCCCACGGCAAGATCTGTCCTCAACTCACCCAACTCACACTCCATCTTTGTCAATCGTTCCTCAAGAATAAATGTGCCCGAAGTACGACCATCGCTGCAGAAGGATGATGGTCGAGGAGGAACAGTCGCACCTAATGACCCCAAATCTTTTTTCATGCCTCAAATCTTCTCTAAACATGTTCATTAGCATGACATGTCTTATATTACACATTTCTTGCACACACAGTACCTAGACTTTGTTTCGACAACACTTTGGGGTGTTGGGCATTATTTTTATTTTTTTTAAAAATTTCAAATCAAATGTTTTTTTTTTTATTTTCTTACAAGATATTACAACAAATAATATTTTTTACTATTCTCAAAATTTCTAAATCTCCCTAAAGTCTCTTATCTAAATAAAGTTATAGACCATGTTTTCTTGTGGGTTTTTAAAAGATTTTTACTATTTTTTTTTTTAAAGTGTCAAACCAAATAATAATTTTTTATTTTTTATATTATTTAAAAATAAAATTTATATTCAAAGCATCGTATCAAACAATTATTCAAAAATCTAAATTCAAAATCCAAATAACAAACAAAGAAAGACATATATAATGCAATACATGCTTCATTTTAATAACATCATTCATCATAGCTATACAAACACATCGAACTTATCATTTGTATTGCTTCTACTACAACAATAATATTAAAGATATACATAGATAGATTTATAGATAGTTCGATACAAGGAAAGATTATCAGTTGTTATTATTGTTGTTGTTAAGAGTGGCGTTGGTGGGGAGGAATATATTTCTTGAGCCATATATTCTTCTGATTTGTTGGGGAACTCCCGTTTGCGGATATATAACTAATGGCTTAGTTTTTCTAATAATTCGAACTTTTACGTGAGATGGTCATTAGCATCCGACATGGTATCAGAGCCTATCCGACATGATTATTGTTTCGACCGTATCTTGTGTCTTGAATATTATCTTCCCAAAGTCAGCACCCCCACTCCTTTTCCGGTACACGTACACATACTCTACACACTCGTCTCCATATTCACTGCACACCATCAAAAGATGACATGATTATAAAACATAACTAGGGTTCCATTATATATATCTTGTATTTTGATAATCTTAATATTTTTGAAGGAAAAATTAACATAGTTATATTATATATATATTAAAAAAAATTGTTTGAAGACTAAAAAAATTAAATAAATCTTAGCTTGAATTTTGCACTAATGTATGTGATAGTAAAATTAATTTGTTGAGTTACATTACCTAGTAAAATATTGGAATATTTCTTTCCAAGTGAAATTGGAGTCATCGGAGAAGGATGGCCTCTCTTGTTCACTCTGTGCTACAAATCTTTGGTTCGCTACTGCTGCCGGTATAAATGGTTCAACTTCTGCCCTTAATTTTTCCATACTTTTCTTTGATTTTATAAATATAAATATAAATATATTGAAGAATTTATATATAATATGGAACAAGAGTATGTATGTATATTTGATTGATTAATAAGATGCAATAGTAGCTGCAAGAAATGCTGAAGTGACACAATATGCAAAAGTGATATATATATTTATATTGAAGTGAAAATTTTGAATTTTGAATTTAAATCAATGTTGTAGGGATTTTGTATTGTTGCCGTTTAGGTAACTAACTAATCGAATGGTAACAAATTTCTTAATTTGCTTGGTAAGATTTTAAATTTTATTTTCTGCAGAATTTAGATGGAAGGTTTATAATTAGTTGGAATTCAATGTATTGTGTGTGTGTGTGTTTTTTTTATATATTTAATGGCTAAAACTAAATAGTTAATACGATGGTGAATTGGTTTACAGAATGAAATTAATTGGACGTTATATTTATTAATTTGTTGTGGGTCATCAATGTTATTACTGTTTATTCTACATTTGTTATTTTAAATTGTTTGAATATGTGTATTGAATAATAGATTTCTTTTTATTTTTTTTTAAGGGAACAAAATGTGGAGGTAATATTTGAAATTATGTTGGCTTATGATAAAATCCAAATTTTAAACATTTTCTTATTTAGAAATGAAATTTACTAAAACACTGTGTTCATTAATAAAATTTTATTTAAATAATGACATGACATATTCTTTTCAAACAATTGAATTTTAAAAAATTACTAAAATCTTGTTCATATTAATTCAATTTAAACAAATTATAACATACGAACAATCTAGCAAATTAAAAATGATTTTTTATTTTTATCACAAATGAACTTAATGTATGAACTAGCACAATGTACTTCCATCATTATTACGATATTCGTGATCCTAGCGATTTATTTCAACTTATCCAAACCATCGATTGTAGGTATGACCTCACCCGGACTTGTAGATGGGAGAAATTTAATTTTAGCCGGTTTTTTAAGTTCGATCATTTATATTTCATGTCCATTTGTACACTTACTAGATCAGTTTTTAAGTGAAGTCTTTACACGTGTGTTAAGATCTACTATTAATACTGTTTTA